CCTCGGCGGATCGCTGACGGACAGCAAGCGGAGCGAACCAGCGGTGAGCCTTGATCTCCTGCAGCGAGAGACGCCTCTCCGGTAGCTTCTGCAGGATCTGTTCATAGTACAAGAAACATGTCAGAAAACGTGTACATGTTTTATTTCTAAAGTCCAGACATCGTACCCGCGTGATCAAATCCTTCGCTGCCAGTGACACCATGGGAGGGACACGAAGTTGGCCTTCGGTAATGAGCTCGATGGTCTCGTTTTGTCCCTATTTAACAAACCACAATAATAAGCATTTCAAAGTGGGGCCATGAAAGGAAAGACGCACGTACCGGCGCTTCGAACGGAGGCTTGCCCACCAGCAGCTCGTACATAATGATTCCGACAGCCCAAATGTCGACCGATTCGTCGTATTTCTCGCCCTACACTCGACAACGTTAGCTGGATGGTAAGCACAGTACGTTGCCAAGTAGAACGTACCCGAATCATCTCAGGCGACAGGTAATCCAAGGTGCCACATAGAGTATCGCGGCGATTACTACATAAATACAAATTAGTTATTATAAGTCACGCATTATAACGAGGCACGACACCACGTACGCCGCCGTCACGTTAGCAGAAGACCAACCGAAATCGCCAAGCTGGATTGTACCCTAAGACATCGCAGCTAAAGTCAGTAACATGGCGTTAACTACCCAGTTTAATCATACCTCCTGGGATAGAAGAAGGTTCTCAGGTTTGATATCGCGGTGGATCACGTGTTGTTGATGGCACGCCTCCAACGCACTAGAGCAACAAAAAAAAGATTTGAGTTACGAATCGCTTCATCCTCTCAGTAATCATCTATTACCTGACAAGCTGGGCGGTGTACAGCATTGCTTGGCGTTCAGGAAACCTATTGACGGCATTGTTAGTTCCATACACGACAAGAAACCAAGGAACCTGATGTGAGCGTACCGTCGTCCGGGCATAGAACGCATTTTCTTGTAGAGGTCACCACCTCCAGCATATTTCATTACCAAGTAAACTGAAGAAAGCAAAACAATTGATATGTTAGGACATGGACGAGAAGAGAAGCACAGGGATCCTCCATCTCACCTCGTGTGGCGTCTTGAAAAGTGGCAAACAGGGGCAGGATATTTTCGTGTCGAATACGGGAGTGAATCTCCACTTTCTTTTCGCAATTGGTGAGATACACCCGCAGCC